GTATTTATTAAAAATCCTCTGTCGTCAATATACTTATCGTTATCATTTGTGGTATCAGGCATTAATTTAACATCATTTTTTTGTGTTTGAGAATGTAGTAGTGTGTGTGGATACATTTGTGTGAGAAGACGCGATGTTGTGTGCTCGTATTAATGAAACGAGACGTAAACTTTAAAACGTTAATATCCATTAAAGCCTAACTATAAAAACTTTGTTCACATTTTGTCATCGTTTTCTCGGTTATGATTTTGAATCAAGATTTTGTTGACATACTGATATTATATTCCTGTCTTTAATTGCTGCATACATTAAAAGGTTTTATTTTGTTGCTAAAACCAGCAAACTTGACCAAATTTTGTACAAGATTGATTCTGGTGGTAACTGCCTGATGACGTATACATTTAAGCCTAAACTTTGTTTTTTATCAAAACTTTACGGGTTTTTCTCCTATGGATGAAGAAGATGCAGCATATAAGATCGTATCTGATAGTTGATCAATGAGAAATTTAGCCTATGTCATCAGAACTGTCACATTATTTCAGATGTAAGCGAAGCTCAAGTCAAAAAACATTTATTTTTTGTGATGTTGACTAAAAGCTGTGTCCTTATGTACAGCTTATTTCAAGATCATTCATTTTTGAGACAAATTGTATTGCGTGTCCTCCTGAATTCCTGCGTGCTACTGACGGATGAATTTTGAATGTAAACAGACATACTATGTAGTCATTGGTATCCTGGTATTTGTGTAACATAACACGTTAACACATTAATAAAGTTCTTCTTAACCGACACTCTACAATAAGAATCCCAGTTCGTATGACGTATTACAGCCTGAATGTGAAGTCATCTTTGTACCTATTTGTGTAGCTCGTCCTCAGGCGCCTTAGTATCATAGCGGTGAATGCTATAGTAACTTCCACTTTCCCAAGAACATTTTCGGCCAGATAGAAGAATGAATTAATTGCCTTGGATTCTCTTTTTTTGCTTCTGTGCTGAAGGGCTTATTATGATCGGCTGGAATGGACAGCTTTGTCGTTTGCCTAGTGGTCAATTTACTTATACCGTATCAAACAACGATCAATACACAAATCCATCTCATCGCAATGTTATCTTTAAACCTCCAACAAAATCAGGAGTATATTCTTAGAAACAAAGTGTTCGTCATTAAACCACGAGGATTCAATTTAACGCTAATATGTGAATTCCTCCAGCCTGACAGAGAAATAAAATTAAACTTCTTTCAATTACGTTCTTAAATAATTTTACTCTCGCCAGCACAAATCTCGATCATACTTTCCTCGAGTTGTGTCTCCATCAATTTCTAGTTTGCCAAATCCATTAAGAAGTAGAAGCTGCGTGCGTGTTAACATTTTTACTGTTGTTACCAGAGCCTTGTCAACAGATAAACAAAGTTACATGCATATTTCGTCTGAAATATCGTTCAACTTCGATCTATTTAAATGATAGCGAGCCCTACTCCAGGGCATATGAAAATTTGCCAACTAATTTAAGATTGAACTCGACCATCTCGTGAAGCTGACTACATTTATTCTCAAAATGGCGGCGTAACGAAACGAAAGCTGTGAAAACAACGCTGTTTTGTCGTTAAGAATCTCGTTGATGGGGTTTGGGTGTATAACGTTCCAAAGATATATGTCAAACTGGATGCTTGATTAGACTTGTCATGGAATCAAGCAATGGAACATATGACGATGATTATAAATTTCACTACATGTTGAGATCCTCGGCATATCTTATACCCATCCCTGTTGGCGATCAACACAGTGATTAAGTCCCTAAGTGATGAAAAGCGCATGTCATTCATTCTCTGTACAACGCCATGATACATTTACTCACTGTATACCACACTTATGATAAACGATATTGTTGCAGCAAACACTAACGCGAGTTATCCACTAGTAAAGCAACCCCGTTCATATACAAATACCATACAATGATACATTTACTCACTATATGTCCACGCTAATGAAAATGATATCGGTGTTGCATCAAAATAGAGTTACCTTAAATTGATTTAAGGGGTTACAAAGAGTCAATTTTTGTCACAAAAACTGTTGACATTATCGATCTAAGCTGGCGTAAGTCCTAGCAATCAGACGTTGGTCGTATACAGATGCTGACACTTACCACGATAAGAGAGACCGATGTTCGGAGAAAATAGTATATTCGTAGTCATGAATTATGTTTGTAAAATCACTTATGTGTCATTAATTCCTTTTTGCTTGTTCGACAGTTGTGTACAGCTGTTACCAGCAATAACTTGTTGAAACCATGGAATCGTAATTTAGTATGTATGCAATGTCACAAGTAGGAGTACTTCGTAGTGTTAACAAATTGATGAATGACCGTGTTCCTCTTTGGGTTTTACGACGATGTCTTATTTCATTTTCATTCATTAATGTTTCAATTAAAGCATGTCGGTTCTATTTACTCCACAGTCATAAATTAGAAAACCCAATCATTTTCACAACTCGTCAATAACCATTTATATCCACTACAATCTCCGCCTAGACTGTTAAACACCAATATAATCATAGATTCGATATCAATCCATTCAGGCATTTTAGATTGACCGATTCAATGGCATTTTTATCAACATAATAGATATTCCCTAACTTCTCCATTCTCTTCAAACGTTCGGGTGAACTTAATGGCATAATTTGTCGTAATTCAAAGTCAAGACTGATAAAAAGTGGGTCAAATATGAACGAAACAACCAGATATACAGACGAAACAAATGGGCATACAGAAGAAACCAGCCGACATACCGACAAAACCACCAAGCATACCGACAAAACCACCAGGCATACAGACAAAACCACCAGCCATACTGATGAAACCACTAGGCATACTGACAAACCACCTATCATAACGACAAAATCACCAGGCAATGTGATGAAACCATTAGGCATACTAAGATAACCACCAGGCATACTAACATAACCAGCCGACATACTGACGAAACCACCAGGCGAAACCACCAGGCATACTGATGAAACCACTAGGCAAACCAACGCAACTTCTAGATAGTGACGAAACCATCATACATACAGACGAAACTACCAAGCATACTCACTTATGTGCAAAGCAAACTAACGCCATCACCAGATATATTGAAAATACCACCAGACACATAGAGGAAACCATAAGGCATACTGATATACAACATCTTCAGTATATTGCTTGCGTCATTTTGTCTTCCTGTGTAGAAGAACTGATAGACCGAGGCAGCAGGCTTATTACCAGAAAAGGAACGATATCAACTCATCTGTAGGCATATTAGGCGATGTGACGTGAAGCGTGCTTGTCCACTAGCTGGCAGCTTAAGGCTATGTGACAGATTGATTTAATAATAATTTCATTCCGAGAAAGTGACCCTGTCCATCTAGCCTAAAAGAAGGCGTCAAAATCATGTGTTTACATACATATCAAACACACATGTCTGAAGCAATCAAGAAAAGGGCAAATTCAACATATCATTGAAATTCCATTTAAATTTACACTGAAATCTACATTACCGTCCCGTTTAGGTTAACATTTCAGACTTTGGATTTTCCTTTGTAGCCTCCTTGGCTTCAAAATGTAGGCCCTTAGCATCACAGACGATTCCTAGAAGGACGAAACAGGTGTATGGTGCGATTTAATTGCTTGGTTTTACTTTATCCGATACTAAGTTATTAAAAGGTACCATTCATTTGTACAACATTTGCAAAACTTTGAACCAATCTCGTAACAGTATAATGCAATAATGACAATAGACACTGTAGTTTAATACTGAAGCATTGCTACATAAGCCTCTTACAAAAGAACAGTATTGTTGTACTTTTATAATCTAGTTGTACTTTTATATCATAACTGTATATCGTAGCAGTACTTTTATGTTACAGCTGATCTTTAATATTATAACTACTCCTTATATCATAGCTGTACATTTATATTATAGCAGTACTTTTATATTATAGCGGTACATTTATATTCTAGCGGTACATTTATATTATATCGGTACATTTATATTATAGCTGTACTTTTATATTATATCGGTACATTTATATTATAGCTGTACTTTTATATTATATCGGTACATTTATATTATAGCTGTACTTTTATATTATAGCGGTACATTTATATTATAGCTGTACTTTTATATTATATCGGTACATTTATATTATAGCTGTACTTTTATATTATATCGGTACATTTATATTATAGCTGTACTTTTATATTATAGCGGTACATTTATATTCTAGCTGTACTTTTATATTCTAGCGGTACATTTATATTATAGCTGTACTTTTATATTATAGCGGTACATTTATATTCTAGCTGTACTTTTATATTCTAGCTGTATTTTCATACTATTGTTGTACTTTTATGTTATAGATATCTTTTATTATAGCTGCCTTTAAAGATCGCGTTTTTGTTTTTCCTTGTTCTCCTTGAGTGACCTTTATAAACAAGTCTGACTGTTTTTGCACTTCACATAAGAACTCTGTGTCATAGGTGTACCTTTTGACATTGTTACCTATCGTGACTGAATCAGTTGTCTTCATGATAAATCATTATAATTTGTATCATATAGATGTCAAAACACATTTCAATATGATGTGCATTGCTGTACAAAAGAAGCGGTGACATGACAAAGCTACATCTAGCACATAAAACATTAAACATAAACTGTTCTTTGAAAATGACATTTTTGGATGGCGCCATTAGCCGACATTGTAAAGTACCAACACCAGTGAATATTTCATAAATCAGTCAGCTGTCTTTATTTTTCTGGTTCCAGTTCAATCCTCTTGTGTAAGTGACATCTGAACGGTAAATGTTGAGTGAAAATGAAATAAACAATATGTACATATTTAAGCAAACACATGTAAACAGGATGTCGGCAGGATGATGGAAGGTACTGATAGCCGAGGTCAGCTAGAGACTATTATATGTATTGAAGTCGTTGACAAAATTTCTTCTTTATGCTACAGGTTGGCCGTATGGTTCGATGATGTGTAAAGTGACTCCTTACCTGCAGGGTGTGTCTGTCTGTGCGTCCGTCAACACTCTTGCCGCCATTGCACTCGACAGGTAAATACGTAATTATGATATCGTCGTTTATCAATGGGATCAGGAATGTTGCGTGCATGTCGTGAAGTAACCCATTGTGTTATACATGTATGATTCATGACTCGCTATATCAGACAAGGAACACGATAACATCAGTTGATTATCTTAAATGGAATTGACATCACACTGTCAGTTAATAGCTGTGTAGTTTATATTTTAATTACCATCGAAAGGTTTGTCAAAAGGGCACTTGCAGTTTCTATGTGTGTACAAATGTTACAGATAATTCTGTTATCATTAAAATTTATCATGACGTCAGTGTAACAATCCATATAACTATTGATCATAACGCCAAAGAACTTGGTTTCAATCTTGTGAATCAAATATGTCCGTGAAATTTTTATTTCTAGACAGTGACATTCCTGCTTCCCCAGTCAAAAGCGTTTTCAAGTCTCTGATTATTTGATAGTCTAAATTTTGTTTCGAATATCACGATTTCCTTGTTAGATGCTGATAAATGACATATATACAACACAAGATAAAAAAATACAAGACATAATATACGAATACTGACATTTCAACAAAATTAATCAAATGTTTAAGGATAGTGTGATCAGGTGCCCGGGAAGGACGAGACTTACCCACCATGAACATTTATTGAATGTCATGTTCTTACACGAGGTATTACAAGGGAACGTCGATCATGTTGCACAGGAAAATTGAATATTGTCCCATGAGATCTTCGTAGTCTTCGTCGATTATTTCACAAGTTGCCGAAATGCATTAAGAGTTCGTAATATTGGGGGTAAGCCCGTGGAAGTCGAATCAAATACGACATGAAGACACCATAAGTTGTGGTTACAGGCTAATTACTAATCTAGTAATTAGAACCTCACAATAGAGAACTTGAAATCATCACGCTCATCCTACTCCTGATGGGGATAACTTACCTGTCTGAAGCAACATGGTTAATTTTCATGCAATTGAAAGACAGGACAGCGCCAACACATCCGTGTGTAAAATTAATTTAAGGGATCGGTATTGCCTGTAAGTTAAATGACGACCGTGGGATAGTGTTAAAGTCGCCATCAAGATCTCATTGCATGGATTGAAAACGTTCGATTTTTTAAAATAAAATTCGAAGTAGTGTTCAAAGGCATTCTACATGTTTTCATATCATTCAGTCCTTTCTCATTTAAGGAAATGTCGTAACTTGGATTGGCTTAGGTTTATGTGATGTATTTCTACAATGAGACAGACGACGCCTACTATTCCGGAATGTGTAGTTTTGATAACTTCTTGTTGTTTGTAAACAGAAGGAATAAAAGCACAAATATATTTTCTACCAGGTCAGCTGTTGATGACCTCATAATGTAAATGTAGGCACACTGTATATCATTGTAGAAGGTGTCTAGGAACGAGTTGACTAATGTTTGAAAATACACACTGATTTAGCATTATTGCCATCCGGTGGTAAACATAATTTTACAGCATAATGGTGATAAATTTTGTCATTAACATGGGAGTTCTTTTACACCAGTAGATATACTTGACTTTTACATCGTAGGTGAATATGGACACCTTTACCATGTAGGTTAATGAGGCCATTTTTTTGCACTTGTAGATAAACATTTGCATTGATAAGTAAGTAAACACGGGTAGTTTAGACCAAAAGATAAGCATGGATAATTTCATATCACAGCCAGGCTACACGGAAAGTTGAAAGGGATACGCAGTTCTATCATTCTTTACTCAATGCTCAGTATCGCAACTATTACAACGTTTGTTGCAAAATTGGATCATACAGCATTCTACTGTGACCTCCATCTTTACATGATACAAGATAATGCTAATCAAGGCGCTTCACCTGTATCATAATGAATCGATTCCATTTCATTAATAATCATCTCAATATTAGATTGATACCAAGTTTTACTCGTACATTATTCTTTTGTCATTTCAGATACCTGGCTATCTGCTACACACTGAACTACAAACTTACTGGGAGAGTCGCTCGCGTGGTGATGGGTTGTGTATGGGCGTTTGCTCTATGCATTATGATTCCATGGGCAGTGTTTTACCAGCATGACAAGTATAACTCATCGATACAGGCCATTTACATCTGTCATTTGGTTTGGCCTAGCCAAGTTTCCGGGAAATTCTTTTTGGCGGGAATCTTCTTATTCTGTTATACCATCCCTCTTCTTCTCATTGTCGTCTGCTACGCACTCATTGGGTTCCGGGTTTGGAACAGGAATGCTCCGGGAATATTCAAATCTAACGGGATCATTCACAAATCTAAAGTTAAAGCAATTAAAATGCTTCTAGTTGTCGTCATATTATTTGGGTTGTCATGGTTACCGTTATATGCAATCAATCTCAAGATAGTGTTTTCGCCGCCATCTTTATCGGACATGCATACTGTGACAATACTTTACGATTATTTAGTACCTGTTTCACAGTGGTTGGGACTAGCAAACAGTGGTATAAATCCAATTATTTATTGCCTATTCAGTCGTAAAATCAGAACGAGAATCAAGGTTATGGTAACATGTAACGAAACACAAGAATTCAAACGCCAGTTTAGAAAATTTTCCAGCACCAGATATGTTTCTGTGGACTACACAAATGGACAAGTTACGTTGAGAACTCATGGAACGGAGAAGGAAAGAAGGTCAAGGTCGCTTAAATCATTGAACAATGTGTATGACTGACTTTCTAGGCATTTGTGTCCTTTTTGTTAAGTAACGAATTGCTTCATTGGTGATTCTTCTTGGTTTGTAAGAAGAGTTTGTCTGTTTATAAATTCGCCAAGCAATAAGCAAGCATGTCACTGTTGTTGAATGCACTCCTGAGTGGCTTGGCAATTCATTCTTGTTTATTGGTAGGTAAATTTCTAAATGGCGGAATACGCCATTGTATATTTTTCGTCTATTCTGCATAATCATTTTATTTATTATATATTCTTATATATTCAGATAAAAATGTTAGGAAGAACTACATTTTTCCGGCATACTGCTCTTCGATTTGTTCTGACTGGGATATTACAAATATGTAGTTTGTGGACTTGTGTACAGACGTTGATAGAGAACGATTTTTCATTCTGCCTTCCAGTGTATATTGTAAATGTTGGTACTCGCTAATGAAGTATGTACTCTCCATATTCTTATTCTGTTTTTCATGATTACATTGAAAAGATCATTAAAATACGACATAAGTGTATGCGACTGTATGTTTAGAGCAAAATCCATTTCTTAATCTTTTTTTCTTGACAGAACCGCTCTCGCATGATCTCAGTGCTCAGGGCATTTACTATGATAAATAAACTTCCAAGTTATGTAATGTTTGCCGTCGTAACTTGTGAATGGCGTTTTCAGGTAAAATCGTAACTTGTGAATGACGTTTTCAGGTAAAATTAAATGCCGATATCCTTATGATATGAGCTACTCTGCATTAGAGACATGATAATGGATCCCGGGACAACACGTCTCAGGTAATCAGATCCGTCTAACGATATAAACCTCAAGTATCAAAATGGGGTAGCGAAACTCAGTAATGACGGAATGAAGCCGAGTGATTCGAACATCTGCATTGTGATACAATGCAGCTGAAAGTGATCATTAAAATATCACACGCCTATCTTTGGATAATACTTAAGTCAAGCAAGAATCAAACGGCAACCTTCTAACCATTGCTGTAATGTACACGATGACGTTATTAATAAACAACCACTGTAGGTCAATTTACACGACGTCAGCGCTCAATGAATCTTTAACGTCACTGCAGATTATGTCATGTCATAAACAATATGCGAGTAGGTCCACAGTATTCTTTGTAACGCAATGAAGTGCCCTGTCCATGTAGGCACAAGCACAGCAGCCTGGGATGACCCAAGATTTCATTTTCCTGAGATACATTAATCGATTCGAGAACGAATCGAACTGCGGCCATTAGATCTTCATCTGCTGTTACAATGGCCGACGGATTAGCCACTGAGCTGTCAAAGTTCCCGATGGAGTTGAGACACATCAATAAGATTCTCTCGGTTTTATTGGTACAGTAATAATTACGTGGTTGGTGAGTGGCTCATGCACCTTTATTATGTAATTAGGTCGAGACTTTTATGGCTGTGGTATATGCCCCTTCAGTGTTGGTGATTACGTCTCCGTTATTTTTTCTACAAGTTTATCTTGTCTAGGTGTTACGGAATCGATCAAGTTTGATCTGGCTTTTGTGAAATGTTTTACTTCCTGTGCGTGATGGTAAAGTGACATCAACAAGTGAAATGTTTGTATTACCAATAGTGTATCACTGTTACTTTATTTCACTCTCGAGCTACAACGTTACGACAATTGTAAAGCATCATTGCCTTACAGCTCAAATAACGCGACTAAGCCAATCGAATACCAAGGCAGTAAGTAATTGAGGCAGCTTCAATGTTCCGAAGATAAAAGGCTTCGAAAATAAACTTAAAATTGCAATATCGAACAACAGTTTACTTTTGTTCTGATCAGCTTCACATAATTGAAATGCATGTAACGCACGAGGAATTTGTTTTGTTTATTTATGACGAATTGGATTTTAGTTACTTTTCCGTCAAAAATATAAAAAGTATTGTATTGTTAGAGGGGGCGGGGTGTTCCCAGAGGTACTTTTCTCATGACCGATTAAGGAATCTCATTGAGAGTGTTAAGTGTGCTGCCTGATGCCCTCTCGGCCATTTCGGTATAACACACAGACACATAGTATGCATTACACAGAACAAAACATGTGCCTCTGCTATAGTTTTGTCGTGAAAATTAAGTCATTGCTACGAGTCAGAGCATTCATGTGTAAGAACAGTACTAGATCGTCTTTCGTGGAAAATCTTTTTTTTTTTTTTTTTTTTTGATTTTTTGTTCTTGTCTGATTTTTTTCATATGAGACCGAGTTTTCCTATGAGAATATTAGAAGAGGTAACGAAAACCTTGTCAAGCCCTTCAAATTTGCTTTAATATTAACAAGCTATCACTAAAAATAGTGTTTCCATTTCTCATTGGGATACATACTGTTTTCTTCTGCGACATACAATTAGATGTGTTCCTGGCGAGTTCTTTGTTATAAATTTGGTAATCATTCAAATGAATTAACCTAGATTTCTTGACAGGTGTCGATGAATCAGAAGACACTCACACTTCACTGAATGTCTGGTCTCATTCGCCTTGTCCTAGTGCCCCTTGAGCTTAATTCTGTTGAACTTGAATTTCTACAAAACAGACAGACGGAGGAAATTATTCCACATTTCTTACTGCGAAAAGTTATGTTGAGATACGGCATTCAGTCCTCTTGGTCTAGATTTATTCAACACAAACATGGTTACAGACAGAGACAATGAATTTAACAAAGGATACGATGTGGCTCCATATATGATAAAAATGGAGATTGTCGGCCCTTGTGGTCATTTCTAGAACATAACAGATAACATTTTATGAATAAAAAATAAAAAGACAGGGCAACAACCTCATCACAAGTTTAACTGGATACCAATATTGTGTGCTGAAGTTTACGTGGGGCAGAAATTGTTTGACAGTCATAGACTACTGACGTGTTCTTACAAGATAAATTATCAAATCATTGACCCCTGTATCACTTTTGAAACAAGAATAGATTCAATGCCATTTATGATAGAAAATAACGACAAATTACATACATACGTCTGTGTGAACAGAATTACATACATACGTCTGTGTGAACAGAATTACATACATACGTCTGTGTGAACAGAATTACATACATACGTCTGTGTGAACAGAATTACATACATACGTCTGTGTGAACAGAATTACATACATACGTCTGTGTGAACAGAATTACATACATACGTCTGTGTGAACAGAATTACATACATACGTCTGTGTGAACAGAATTACATACATACGTCTGTGTGAACAGAATTACATACATACGTCTGTGTGAACAGAATTACATACATACGTCTGTGTGAACAGAATTAAGAAAGGGTTTAAACACGGAAGATTTATTAACTCGAAATAGTATAGCAACTGTTGAATTCTTCGGTGAATGTTTGATTGTAAACCTACATTCTAAAGATGCAGAAATTGTTTGTCGTGTTTGTATATTACATATATATGCAAATAATGATACTCGATAAACCATGAATTATTAAATAACTTGATTTGTATCGTTATTAAAGAGGTACATCACGTGATTATTAAGACAACCACTATGCTTAGTTAAAACTTAATTTTGGTCAACAATTTAAGTTACAATACTCTGATGCTTTCTCGCATTCATATTACTTAAATAATACATACATGAAATCAAATAGAAAAAAATATTGACGTTTTCACAACATTGTTATATCCTGCATAATTGTCTACCAACATAAACCACTCATGCTCTCGCACACAATCCGTCCTTGGATAAAAATAGGTCTTTCTGTAAATCATAAAAGGTGAATATAATAGAAATGTCTTTATATGTCTCGCATGAATCTATATATCTCGTGTTACGTAAGATCGCATATATAAACACAGTATGACCATATGATAAAAACAGAAAATAATTCGGTGACAAGGTTAGTGGTGAATTGCATGACTTGTGTCAATAAAGTTTTCCGAAAACATCAAAATAAATAGGTGTTTAATAGTGTAACGTACAAACAAACCATAGCTGATGACGCGGTTAAATTTTACACATACATTTATCTTTAAAATAAAAAGAATATAACAATATACTTACTCCTCCAATAAAACAGAATACACTAAATAGAGCTAATAAAACCAAGAAACTGACTGCCGTCTACGACGGTGATATATCGCCTTATTATAGACATCCCCGGCCAAAATGTTTCTTCAGCACGACATTGTTGCAATTAGTTGGTGTTGAACTTGGTAGACAGTATTATATATAACAATGGTCTTGCAGTCGTATTTCCGTTGCAGACATCAGCTTTGTATTAGTCTAGAGAGTCTGCAATCACAATACAGTTTGAATCTGGCAGGTTTAACTGATAACGTTTTACAGCTTGATTACTCTCAACTAATTAATAGCACATTGTAACTAGATCTCATTTGTATTGTTTCATCAACAAATGCTATAACACTGAATGAATCTTTGTGGATTTTCGGTGTGTTAATTACTTTCGTATCAATACCCTTCCCTACATATATCCTTCCAATTGATTCCCTGAAAGCTCACCTTACTGTAAAAACAGGTAATTATAGAATGTTACTGTGATATAAATGTCTCCTTAACCACTGAGTGTCTAATTATAGTCGGACGCTTACCTAGACATATGATAATGTCATAATTAATTGAAATCGGAGGCAAACTTTCAACCAGTCAGAAACAATGTTATAATCGGACAATTTGCTAAACTTTCAACCAAACAGAAACTATGTTATAATCGGACAATTTGCTAAACTTTCAAACAATCAGAAACTATGTTATAATAAGGAAACGGTGTTTACTACATATTTACTACATGCCGTTTTCGCAGAATTGCATCATACAGCTGTTTCGTCCTTCTATGACTTGTCAGTAATGCCAAAGGTCCAATGAAATACTGAGTACTCTGAGTTAGAAGTATTTTAATACAAAGTCCTCGTTATCGTCATCATACTGCATCTCTCGAAACCCTATGTTGTCGGTGATGTTGGAAACACGCCCTGGAATATCGAATCAACTCCGACATGTAAACGCCATATGGTTTGATGCAGGGAGGTTACTACCTATCTGTTAAAACAACCAAGCTACAACCTCTTTGCAAGAAAACTAATGCTAACTTTGGTTGTACGAGACATCTTCCATCTTTAATCCTAACACAAGTAGATAACAATAAACATACGGTAAATCAAAGCTAATTTCAGCAACAATGAGTTTGGTGACATATTGACCGAGTTGTTTCAGCCCTTGTGTGTGATCCTCTAATTGGTAAAGATTTGCTTCTATGTGATCGGTCTTCTAGGATTTCGTCTTTCCCAGATGACCCTATGGTATGTTTCCACAGCGTCTAATTACGCTCCGTGACGACATCGTTTCTGTTTTCTCGGTAAACAGAATAAGCTACATAAAACCCCTTTAACAGTGGTATAAATAGTCAGCGATAAACAATAGGTCATGAGATACGTCATGGTCGGATTTGTTATCTCCAGCATGTACATAATACATTATAGTACAATGGATCGGGAGCCAAGTCCGTCAATGACTGTTATGAACGTTTATTAATTTTCTCGGATTGCAATCATAGTCTTATTACCGAAGTCTTATTTAAACATCATTTTTGTGTGTATTTGTACTAGTATTATTTACTGGTTAGATTTATCGTGTTAAACGAACAACGCAACATTTGCAACTAAGCACTCATCGACATATTGAAGCTTCGTTTCTCAATAGATTATCGCTCATCTGTCGACACCTACCAGGGAAATGGCGATTTTGGAACAAGTCCTTAAATGTCGTTTCAGATGCAACGTATATACACCATAGGTTGGGAAAATTTTAGAAATTTAAAATGATAAATTTGAATCATTACGCTTCTCATAAAACTACGTTGGTTACAGTTAAAATCGAAGTTAGGATTATGTACAAAAGTCTTGATTTCAGAAGTTTTTGACGGTACATATCCAATCGATAGTTAGTTCTTCCTAAGGTTTGGGACGCAAGGATGTTATATCCAGAAATGGAATATTTATAATAGGGAAACTGCAATTATCCCGTTTATCATACAGTAATGACTTTGTTTATGGTTTGGCGCTACTTCCAAATCGGCAAATCATGGTAAGGCAGGATTGTGAACATCCAGTCAAACATGACATCAATCCTGTCAAAACCTAGGATCTTCCCGCGCAAAACCTAGGACCTTCCCAAGCAAAACCTAGGATCTTCCCACGCAAAACGTAGGACCTTCTTAAGCAAATCCTAGGACCATCCCACGCAAAACCTAGGACCTTCCCACGTAAAACCTCGGACCTTCAGTTCAGCCAAGGGAGACCACTCGGTACAAGGTCTAGCAGCAACCCTAGAAAACACACCTAAATACGATACTCAGATTTTAAAGTCTTATATATCAACATGTCGGAAAATCGTGGAAAGGGGGATAAAAACGTGTGGTCAAACTGATTTTATTATCGATTGACGGTTATCACTATATAACACATCATTACCTGAATAGATAAGGAGTGTATAATGTCTAAAAACATATATGTATTATTCCAATGTTAAGTGCATCATTTAACTTATTTGCATTTTTAAAACTTCTTTCGAAAAATCATCAGTTATGTAGTCAGACGGCTTCCATAAGTTTGCGAATTATCATTTCAACAAAGATTAGTGTAGAATTTTCACGCGTTCTATATTTGGTTTTCATGAAAAGCTACATCCGTGTCTAATTTCGGGAAGAAAATACTTGCTTTGCTGAACATTTTCAATTTGTTTTTCAATGTTTTGTACCAAAGACAATTTTATCTGTTTGGTGAACAATGAAGACAAATCTATTTTAACTTTGTTATATGACTCTGTCGTATTACATCTGAACTAAACGTGACACTATGATGTATAAAGTGCAACACATTCAGTATGTGTAGTGAACAACAACGGAAGATTGTAAGAGACATGGTACATATGTACATCTTAATTACATGTTTGCGTGTATAGTCAAAGGGACGTAACTCAAGTTATGTGCCCCTGCTCGGGCCACCGGTCAGAGTTGAGTAATTGAGAAATTGGGAATGTTCACATGTTCGTTGTAAATGTGCTGACTGGAAGTTTTAGAGATAAATATCAAGTACTGATTACATGCTGCCCAGATGTCGAAAAGGTTGACCTAGCTACTGTCAAGTGCGAGTCTGTTACTGTCATCTGACTTTCTCGTGAGAGTCTCATGAAGGAAGGTGATGTAAAAGTTTACAGTGGACGTAAAACTCGTTAAATAAATAAATAAGTAAATAGAGAGAGTTCGAAAGAATCGGATGTATATATATTAACATGTTATCTTGGCATGGATTCCATGCAAGGTACCCTGTTATAAATTTTTCATACAAATGGCCGAGGAATACTAGCAAATCTTGTACACAAATTCGACCAGACCTAAACTGTTCGAAGAAAATCAAAGGCGACGAAGAAAGTAACAGAGCTAGCAATGGACAATGGTCAACTCACGCCGACAGATGCAGGGAAAACCCTAAACGACCAGTTTGCAAGTGTTTTGTCTATGAAAGTACTAATGATTTACCTGATTTCAACAGTCAATGCGACTCTATGAATCTAGAAAACATTGACATCGCTGAAAAGCAAAAGTAATTAAAAAACAACAAATCACCAGGCCCAGACCAGATTTGCCCAAAATTTATATTTGATACTGTGAAACAACTAAAAGAACCACTCAAAATTATTTCCAACAAGTCAGTTCAGGAACCGAAATTACTAAAGGATTAGAAAATGGTCAATGTCACACCAATATTTTAAAATTGTTGAAATAAGAATGCTGAAAATTATTGACCAATTAGCTCTTAAAACCTCTGTTATAGGGAAAATACTATAGAGAATAATCCGTGATGAAATTGTTGAACATTTGAACAACAGCCTCTTAAACTCTGATCACATGGTTTTTAAACTCTGATCACATGGTTTTTAAACTCTGATCACATGCTTTTAAGTGTGGATATTTATTCCCTACCCAAATCAGATGTTGGAAGTAATGGAGGACTGGACCGTTGTCATGAACAACTGTAAACAAGTTGACATAATGTACCTGGACTTTAGGAAGACTTTCGACAAAGTACCACACAGACGACGCGTCCGTAAAGTGGACACCTAGGGGTGGGGGATGGGGTAAAGGGTAATTAATTTTGTCAACGAATTAGAACAAAGAGTAATAATCAATGGATCATACTCCATTACCATAAATAAAGTCACAAGTGGAGTACCCTAGGGAAGAGTTCTAGGACCAGTACTTTTTCTCATCTACATCAATGATATACCCAAACTTGTTGATACCACCTTTAAAATGTTTGCTAGTGACGCCAAACTTTACAGGTCATTATCCTCGGGTGATATCGGACAATCCTTACAAACTGACCTGGACAGTGTGTGGCAGTGGACGGGTACATGCCTAATGGCCCTGAATGTGGACAACTGTAAATATCTCAAAATTCACCTGTGGCCACTAAAATGACACCAATTTAACCATAACACAAAGAAGTGACAAGGAAAACGATCAACGTATAATACTTGACAAAAACCTAAAGTTCAGTTACCACATTCTGTCAGAATCTTGGCCCCGTATTTAAAACATGTATTAATCAGGAAATGTTTATAACTGACTCTGTATAAATTCGCTACAAATTTACGAAATCCTGTGAATGATATGGGCCATGTCCAGAATGTAATAGAGGAGACCCATTTAAGAGTAACTAGAGGAAATGATAAGAAAACAACTAAAAAAGATTTGAAACAAATATCAGGGGCCATGCATTTGGAAACAGAGTTATAAATTTATACATGGAACAGCCTTTCCACCTATGTCGTGAATTCACACACAATCAATACCTTTAAGTCTGGACTTAATAAACATTGACAAGGAGTAGATCACGAGTTCACACCGAAGTATTACAGTTATTAATCAATACACTCTAATTAACATTAATCTGTGCAACCGGGTGTGACCAAGAGTTAATCAGAAGATGGGTCAACAGACGCGAAGTGACGATAACAACGACTTCGATCACTCTGAACTGTGAATACGAGTCTGAATGAGGGGCTGTGATGTGATACCTCTGTACGCAGTATATGATGACGTTTGTATATGATTACACAAGTGGAAGCTGATATCGATGTTGTTTCGTTACTCTGGTGGTAATCTAGCACAAAACGACCCGTATTATATATGTGACGGATGTAGCTACCCTGCTGTTAGAACCTAGTAATCTGACATGAAACCTTAATTTTACAGTTGTCTGATCATCTCTTTGAAGTCTAGAGTAATACTCTGTAGTTTTCTGTCAGGCCTAGTTTCGCAGTGTGCTATCGAATTCACATCATATAATAAATACTATCAATATGTTCATAATCTGTCTTCTTTGCCTTCACTTTATATATTAGATGTATTACCTTATTCTTTGTTGTCCCATTGCGAACTATTTTATGTGAAAAGTTTTCGTTTCACTAGTAATGGAAAAATTGTAAGGAGCTACGTATATTTTATATATTACAAGTTCATACGCAATTAGTTTGGGAAATTGAAAGTGTACTTTTCCAAGTTACACTTAATCAGGTCACGACGCTCGCAGCAGCACATATGGGCCGCAGTACCGTCATGAGTTTAATTTCTTGTTAGAGACATATTGTGTCGTAATGGGAACTTTCAGTCAGTCACAGTTCTGCTACATGTAGGTCATCTTACACATGTTACGTAAAGTATATTGTTACACTGATAACAGCGTACTGGTGATCAGACGTTTAATAGCAATGCAAATAAAATACAATGTTCTGTAACAGTGTATATAATAAACCATGTATCGTGCTAGGTACACATGTTCGAATAAAAACGTCCGAGACATCCAAATGGACTAACTCTCTATTATGAAGGTACAAAAGTTATTCGTGTTTCTCGGCATTGTTCCTTAATGTACTGGTAAAAATGGCAGAGGCGGACGATAGTAATTTCTACATTGAGCTACATAAGAATCCAATTAGATTTGACCCTGTTGATAAAGTGACCAACGTCTTCTACGATGATGCAAACAAGCAGGTGAGTATTATATGCGTAAAATGATTTTAATGTGATTCGTCTGAACTTGGCCAAGAGAAGACCACCTTTAAACAGATGACAGATTTAGATTCGCCGGTGTTCCAGTCGTTCTCACCTACATGAAGATGTATAAAATGTAACTTTCACAGGATGTAGCAATCAAAATCGTTAATTTGATGTTCACAATTTGCAGATATGTTAGTTTTTTTATGAAGGAGTACGGTCTTAGATATGCAGACATAAGCTCTTTAGAGCTTTTATACGAGAAACATGTAAAATGAATAAAAACACAACTAAATCCAAGAATACTACGTGTACACTGTAGTTAAACAACAATATCATACATTTTGTGACGTACATGTACCTTGAGTACCGATTTTAGATGTCTGTGCTCGTTAATTTAGGTTCAACCTTTTGCTATGTTTTTAATTCCTTATGAAGGGATAATTTGTAGGTCAGGATATTTTCTAAGGAATCAATAGATGAGTAGTTCCGCAGAAAATTCCTGTACGTCAGCTGTTCAAATCTGATCACATATGCAGTTTGGTGGGTTTTGGTTGGGTTCTATTTCTAACCATATTGAATTTCCACACGTAATACAATATAGTTCTCGCCACTACCATGCACTTGTTTATATACAGATTAAATGACCTGCTTTTGACAAGCAGAAGATGATGCCATGTTGTTGAGTTGAGAGATCTAGAATGCTTATTAGTAAATGAATGGAAAGAGAAGAGAGATAAGAAATGAAGTTTACTAGTCGTCTTAAGCTATGTAACCCAAGTGTATGATTGTACTTTTATTGAAGGTGTTTGCTGTGCGGTCAGGTGGAGCCATGGGTGTGGTGGTCAAAGGCCCGGGTGAAAAGGATTCTGTAACATTCAGGTATAAAACTGATGCAATAAACAAGAAATATAGGATAATTTGAAATCTTTTTTTAATGTGTCATTGATCTTTCCTATAGGAGAAATGTGAGTCAATTGTGACATTATTAATGAAACAGAATCACTAATACCGACTTCCAATTTTTTTTCTTTTGACTGCAGGTTTTTTAAAACTTTAAATTTTTCCTTTTCCAGAGTTGAAAGTAGAGGAGATGTGATTTCCATCAAATTTTCTCCAGACCGACGAGTTCTAGGCATACAACGTTCAACAAAGTCTGTGGTAAGTAGGGAAATTTTATGGTTACCTGTCTGGTACATTACTAAGATTTTGAGGTAAAACATGATAATTCAGTTCACATTAGTCTGAAAGTGTATAGTTTTTCCATTTAACATTTAATATAAATTTCATCCAATTCATCAAAGCGACCCTCTCAAAAGATTGCACTAAGATTTCTCAAATAGATATCATTGTATATTTTATTTATATCAGATACATGATGATCGGCAAGAAATCTTTTTTTTTTCAAATGGCTTTTGTACCCAAATGTGCTATTCTACATCTGTTGTAGGAATTTATAAACTTCATGACAGATATGACAGCAGATCAGTTGGAATACTCTCAAACCTGCAAGGTAATGATTAAAACCACCTTTACATTTAGTGATTTAATTGTCTTAATCAAGGTTGTGATTGCTCATTTTTGTATATGACTAACACTCTTTAACTTTCATTTTTTGCAATGTACAATTGTATCTATACTTAGAAGATGCCAATAAATTGCTGAACATGAAAAATTTTTTGTTATGAGGATAACCTTCATACATACTTTATCTAGAAAGTGATCAATTGATTTTTTTCAGGGTAAATCCACCAACATAATGGGATTTGTGTGGACTGGAGTGAATGAGATTGTCTTTATAACAGACCACGGCATTGAGTTCTATCAGGTAAGGACCTAGCCACATGGTATCTTCACTCACAAAAACACTTGGAACCTACATGTAATAAGTAGGTACAAATTTAGTTTCATGCCTTTCAGTTTTAAAATGTGATCAAAGCAATTGATACAAGTTGTGTTGCCATTTTAGATGTCTGCTTATCAAATAAATTCTCTAATTAATAATATTATTTCCAATAATCCATTAGTAAACAATCTATGTTTATTTATCAATAAAATCTATAACGCAGTATAAAAATCAACCAGATATAAGTTTAATCATTATATCTACAATTTCTGTCAACTACCGTAGGACCTGGTTGTTTATAAAAACTCAGTTTTGTTTTTGATTTAAGAATTTAGTTTTGTTGTTTTTGTGCATTTGTCTTTACAGGTTACTCCTGAGAAAAGAATGCTGAAGTGTGCTAAAACAATCAGTCTGAGTGTTGCCTGGTTTGTGTGGCAGGTAATATGTCACTGAAATATTAAAACAGTTTCTTTAATCACTTTTTTGTGAATTTATGTACTAGGATGTATCAATAGATTTAATACTTGAATCCTGAATACCAAATCACTCTGCTGTGTACATGTACTTCTATACTTGGATCTTATTTAAAAATGATCAAATAATGTGCTAAGGGAAATAACTCTTTGATTTGTCTCCTTATGGTCACACTTTTAAGTCTTTTTCTCATACCTGGGTTATTCCAGTAATCTATTTGAGTTGCATTATGGCTGTTATATGTTTCAAGTTTATGCCAAAGTTTAAGAATGATTGAGACTTTTAATGTAAGACTTGTTACCTTGATAGGACAGTGTATATGGAAAGGTATAGCCATTATTATTGTCTCTGAAGAAAAGTGAAACTTCTTTCATTTTGGAACTCCATTTCCTGAAAATCGCTCACTTTGTTATAATTTTCCACCTGTACATGTCAGTGGTGTAAAGCAATATTGTACCAGTCTCTGTGTAATTGATAGCTGAAATCCTCTGTTAAGTTCAGTTGCCTGTGACTTAGCAATCTAAAACTTAAGTACTCACCTAAAGTGCTTGGATGGCTACTTTAGTCAAGTATCAATGTTATTGTTCTTATAAATGGAAAATCGCTTTCTGCTGGATAACTTAAATTCCTTTGAGCTCAATATAATCAAACCTTCTTATCTTTAGGTCAAAAGCATAGGTCTTAACTTACACCAGGGTATGGAGTTCTGGGATATATTTACACGTTGTGTTGTTGAAGACACTCAGTCACACTAGTCATTAGTTAATAATCAATATTTTTCTACAGGTAGAAAGTTCAATATTGCTGTTAGCATCAGGTGCATTAGGAAACACATTGAATCCATTCCTGTTCAGGGTAAGTACAAAATCCAATGTCAAATACTTGATATGTAACCTGTAATACCAAACTTCAGTGTAATACTTGTAATTAAACATATTAGATGTAATGCTTGGTTCTGTGTAATTAATTACCTGATGTTTTATATCTGGTATGTACTGTAGCATGTAATATCAAAAACTTAAATGTTATACCTGATGTTTATTAAATGCTGTATACATAGCTAGTATCACCTATCTCTTGATCAATGTTAATGATAGCAAACAAAATGTAACACCTTTATGTACATGTTACACCAAACTCAGTGTCATATAGCTGGCTCTGTTGAATTCTGAATACTAAGTCTTAAACAATGGTACCTACATGTGTTTAAGTAATATCAATGGAAACCAGAGTCTCTTTCAGTTCATACAGTACAGTACCAAATAGTAATACAATCTGTACTTGATGTGAACTTACAGTCGTAATAGTGTCAAGATGTTATACAGTCGTAAAAGTGTCAAGATGTTATAGAGTTTAATTATGAAAAAGATAGTGTTATATAGTTTTCCGTCACACTTTGACCCAAGCATTTCTTTTAGCCAAAATCTTGATGTTTGGATAAGAGTAACAAACAAGCATCTGGTTAACAATTAGTTTTTTAATACATGGACTGTGTAAAAGCACAATCACATACTGTGATATCTAGATTAATCAGTGCTTGAGAAATTTATTTTGTATCAGGTACTTTCTTGTTTCATATAAATTACAGTGTAATATTTACTGCAGAAAAAAATGTAATATTGCCATTGAAATCACTTTTCACTTTTGGAGTATCTTAACGCATCAGTTTATGCTTCAGGGTACAATGACAAAACTGCCAAAGTTTGAAGTAGACTTACCATCGGTACAGAAACAGTCGAAGACTCCTCTACTGGAGCGTGACGTCATCATGGCCATTATGTAAGTGTACAACTACTATATATTTTTAATCTATGTACACTACAATAGTTATAAATATTTTGCAATGTGTACACTAGATAGGTTTTATAAATAATTGTAACCTTCAAATAGCAGTATTTGTAAGTTCACTATTGGAATTTTGATTTCCTTGTTAATATTATCTCACCAGTCAGAATAATATAGATAAACGTTCTATTGAAGTCCCTTTGATAAAACCACAATAACCATAAACATAATTTTATCAAGATGTTGATACAAAATCTGACCAGAAAGTTGTTGACCAAGATATCCTGATTTTAAATTGTTTCCTTCTGAAAAGTTGGGTACTTCATTTTGATAATGTGGAGGGAAATTTCTTTTTAACACTATATCATTTTATATATTTGTTCTTGTTCTTTCTACTATAACTTTTGATATATAATTACCTCTCCTTAGCCTGTTTGATGGTGTTGTAGTTTATTAATAAAATTTATAAAATTCTACTCAAGTAATGTGCAAATTTGTTGGGAAGACTAAAAATTGATTTGAAATATACCATGAAATATCTATTGTAGATATGGCCAGCTGTATATAGTTATCCTGAGGCATCAGCCTCGACCTGGGTCTGTAGGGGCAGAGATTGTATTGTACCAGATCATCAGGTATTCACTTCAATATTTACTCTCACATTCATATGCATTGGATTATTGCATTCCTTGATACACAATCATAGATTAAGACCTCAGTGATGTATGTTGAAAGAAAATGCCACTTGTGTAGACATGTTACTAAATTTTGTATGATTTTGATATTTTATCACTCAGTAATAAAATAACATTTTATATTTCAACTTAACTGATTTTCCTACTTTTGAAAGAAAAACCTTGTCAGCGTATGTATGAAATAATACATTTTAGGGACAGAACAGTAAGTAATCATTTTCAGTCTGATATTACTATAGGGATGGACCTGCTAGGAAGACAAATGTATTAAAATTGGATATGAGTGGACGCTTTGCTATCAACGTTGTGGACAATCTAATCCTGGTCCATCACCAGGCCTCTAGAGTAAGTGTAACATTAATGATTGTAAAACGTGTCTGTGTCTTATCATTGTGGTAGTAAAGATACTGTAAACATTCAGTGGTAATGTGATATTACTATTAGTAAGTTATCATCCTTCTTTTTTTACAGACATCTGTGATATTTGATATTCAACAGGAAGGAGAATCAGATGGCTATGTAATGTCTCATTACCCAGTTGTCTCCCCTTTGCCCATTAAACCTTTTACACTTCTGCTTCCATGTAAGTAATCCACTTTAAACTTCAAATGAACTTTGGCCTGACTAATAATGTGTGTTGTGATTGAAACTTACTTAAATTTTGTAGATGTCCCAGCCATAGAATATTAAGGGGACATGTTTATTTTACCCTATCAGTATATCTGACTTCCACCTCATTTCAGTGTCATCAATAGATGACTGTGAATAAAACTGTAAATGAGCCTTCAATAATCAGTCAGTAAGTGACAATGTTCGTTTTATCTACAGTAGTTCAGTTCGCTTTGTTAAACTCCTAGAAGTTCATTGTTCAGTGAAATTGAATGTATTGAATGTTAACATCCATAACTCATTCTCTGGATTTATGAAAGGTAATATGTAATTAATGTTACTTTGATAGTTTAAGGAATTGTCCGTTAGTTAACATGTTGATTATTCCTAGCTATCTTATTCCATTTTCAGCACTCAATCTGCAAACAGGAGCAAACAAAATGGAATACTCCTGTGAACTATGTATCCTTTCATATATATTATTTACAAAGAAACCATTGAGACTTGTTTTCAAGATAATGGAAACCTAACTTGACCAGGAGTTCATCTGCTGAGATCTGTATCTACAGCATTGATAAACTGTTGCCCAAAAAACAATACACAGAAGCTATACAATTATGGCCCGGTAATGTCCGAGCATTAAAAGTAAGATTAATGCTTAAAGTCTACAGCACTTGGTCACTTTGTCTTGAAAATTTCTTCTCTTAACTACATTTCAAGATTCCCCAAACTGGATTGTCTTTCAGCCCAACATTATAATAGATGCTAAACTAGGTAAGTGTTTCAACAGAAGTAATAAATCAGTTAGGGTTGTAACAAATATTTGTATACAAGGTAGTGGACAGTTTTTGGAGCATCAGATTTGCCTGTATTAATGTATTTTATCCTAGCTGTTTGTGGTAAATATTCAATATACTGTCCAAGCTGTCTGTTGTTAAATTCAGCTGTTTTATCCAGGCTGTGTGTAGTAAAGACTTTGTATTTTATCCAAGCTGTTTGTGGTAAATATTCAGTGTACTGTCCAAGCTGTCTGTGGTAAACTTCTGCTATTTTTTATCCAAACTGTCTCTGATATACTATTGCTACCTTATCAAGAATGTCTGTTGTAAAATTTAGTAAATATTTAATATACTGTCCAAGCTGTCTGTGGTTAAATTCAGCTATTTTATTGGAGCTGTTTGTGATAAATATTCAATATACTGTCCAAGCTGTCTGTGGTTAAATTCAGCTATTTTATTGGAGCTTTTTGTGATAAATATTCAATATACTGTCCAAGCTGTCTGTGGTTAAATTCAGCTGTTTTATCCAGGCTGTGTGTAGTAAAGACTTTGTATTTTATCCAAGCTGTTTGTGGTAAATATTCAGTATACTGTCCAAGCTGTCTGTGGTAAACTTCTGCTATTTTTTTATCCAAAATGTCTCTGATATACTATTGCTACCTTATCAAGAATGTCTGTTGTAAAATTTAGTATTTTATGCTATCTGTCTGTGGTAACTAATCTGCCTTATTATCCAGGCTGTCTGTGGTAACTAATCTGCCTTATTATCCAGGCTGTCTGTGGTAACTAATCTGCCTTATTATCCAGGCTGTCTGTGTTAACTAATCTGCCTTATTATCCAGGCTGTCTGTGGTTACTAATCTGCCTTATTATCCAGGCTGTCTGTGTTAACTAATCTGCCTTATTATCCAGGCTGTCTGTGGTAACTAATCTGCCTTATTATCCAGGCTGTCTGTTGTAACTAATCTGCCTTATTATCCAGGCTGTCTGTTGTAACTAATCTGCCTTATTATCCAGGCTGTCTGTGGTAACTAATCTGCCTTATTATCCAGGCTGTCTGTGGTAACTAATCTGCCTTATTATCCAGGCTGTCTTTGGTAACTAATCTGCCTTATTATCCAGGCTGTCTGTTGTAACTAATCTGCCTTATTATCCAGGCTGTCTGTGGTAACTAATCTGCCTTATTATCCAGGCTGTCTGTTGTAACTAATCTGCCTTATTATCCAGGCTGTCTGTGGTAACTAATCTGCCTTATTATCCAGGCTGTCTGTGGTAACTAATCTGCCTTATTATCCAGGCTGTCTGTGGTATGTGAAGCTGCTGTTGGGACCACTAGTTGTTATGATTCCTGACAAGGTATGTGTTAATCTACTACATTTATATCTGCTCTCTGATATCAAACTCAAATCTGAGACTGCTTTTTAGGTCTTTTTAGACAAAGTCTCAGAGTGACTTATTCTAATCACCTTCAACCGGCGTTGTGCTTAAACAATTTAAAATTTTCAACTTCTTCTCAAAAACCTCTGATCCGATTTCAATGAAATTTTGCAGAAAACTTCCCTGGCCTAAGATGAATCAAAATTATGAATTATACAGTCACCACCCCCCAGGGTCCTGAGGACTAGGGCCAAAAGTGGTCAGATTGACTCAAATTTCAAAAATCTTCCTGTCAACACCAAGATATGGTAGAATCAATTATTCTTCATTTATGGAAGCATTTTACGGTGCTTTATCAAACTGAATTTCATGGCCTCAGGGTCTCACATTTCCCCATGAGGAGGGTGAAAGTTTATTATGGTTTATATAGGAAAACAAAATTTTTGAGCATAATTTGTTTAATTTCCATTGGAAATATTTCAAACTTGGTTAGAATTATGAGTGAAGGATAATAGTTTGATAGTATGCCCATTTTAGTCCTGACTGACCCCCAGGGGCTGATGGGTGGGGCCAAAATCGGTCAGATTGACTAAATTTCTAAAAAATCTTCTTCTCAACACCCAGATATGGTAGAATCAAATGCTTTTCATGAATAGAAGCATCCTAAGGTGCTTTAATAACCAAAATGAGTCACATTTCTTCCTGGGGAGGAATATTTCTTTTGGACTTAACTGTAATTTTCATAGAAACATTGCATTTTTGAACACAATGTTGGTTATTTCCCACTGGAAATAACTTTATAAGAATTATCAGTGTAGGACGAATTCGCATAATAATATACATGGTATGTACCTCTAAGAACTACACAGAGTAACTTTGTACTAGCAATATGCTTTTGATCCAATAATTAAGGATAACAGTGAAGTGAACAGAAATATGACTTCCATGATAATAAACGATGTTATGATAAATGACTTTGACTACTTGTCCTGGTTACAGATGTGAGATAGAAACAGGTGAGTGAAACAGGCCTTGGGTGCCCCTTGATAAGTATACCTTTCTACTGATTGTAGTGTCGACTCATCAAGTTCCTGCTGCAGAGGACAGATAGTAAGTCTGAAATCCTGTCTGTCTGCCGGAACATGATGGTGCCTGGTAAACAGGCGAACCTGCGAACCATTGCGTCAGTCCTAGACATGCTTAACAAAGTGTACCACTCACATTTGGAGTCTGAGATAAACCAGCTGGTATGTATGATAAACTTTTGTCACATGTATATAAATCTAGGTCATATGTACCTAAACCTGTGTAACATTTGCATAAATCTAGGTCATATGTACCTAAACCTGTGTAACATTTGCATAAATCTAGGTCATATGTACCTAAACCTGTTGCACACATTCTCAAATCTATGTCACATGTACCTAAATCTGTGTCACATGTTCCTCAATCTGTGTCACATGTACCTAAATCTGTGTCACATGTTCCTTAACCTAGGTTATATGTACTTACCTGGTCATCTGTATAATACAAGGGATTTGCTTTTAAGATATGCTAGTATTTTTTCTACACCTTAAGGTTATTGGGAAGTTGAAGGCTTTATAATCACCCTTAAAATTGAATTGTACAGGAATATAAATGTTACATTGATCACCTTTGACTGAAGTCAAATCAAACTGCCTTTGGTATTGCCATGGTGTAGTTCAACTGTGCAGACTAAAAGTTGTGTTGGAATTGAGAGTAACGTTTTGATGTTAACTAAGACTAAGGTATATGGAAGTCGTTCTTTATATATGCCAATATTATATACTGTATAACAAGGTTTTCAAATGCTTTAGGGATATCACTCAAAGTTTTCATTTTTGGGGTCAAATTTCATATTCCTTTGCAGAATAACAATTTATCGTTATCAATAACAGATTAGAATTTGCATTTTAAAGATGCAAGACTATAGATAACGGCCATCTCATCCAAATTATGTTGTTGATAGGCAACTGACACACAATCTCGGCCCTCAGAACCACGAAGACGACAAGTTATTGTAGACCAATCTGATGCCTACACCCATATCTTTTCCATCTTTGAAGACAGAAAGGTAAGAATAAATAGAAAAGTTTTGTATAAATTACTCACTGACCATACAGAGATATAGACTCACCATTTGTAAAGTCCCCATACAGCCTTGTATGAACATAACTCACCATACAGACACCTACAGCCTAGACTTTACATCAGACTAGAATTATAACACCTACAGCCTAGACTTTACATCAGACTAGAATTATAACACCTACAGCCTAGACTTTACATCAGACTAGAATTATAACACCTACAGCCTAGACTTTACATCAGACTAGAATTGTAACACCTACAGCCTAGACTTTACATCTCACTACAACTGTAACACCTACAGCCTAGACTTTACATCAGACTAGAACTGTAATACCTACAGCCTAGACTTTACATCAGACTAGAATTGTAACACCTACAGCCTAGACTTTACATCTCACTACAACTGTAACACCTACAGCCTAGACTTTACATCAGACTAGAACTGTAATACCTACAGCCTAGACTTTACATCAGACTAGAATTATAACACCTACAGCCTAGATTTTACATCAGACTAGAATTATAACACCTACAGCCTAGACTTTAACACCTACAGCCTAGACTTTACATCAGACTAGAATTATAACACCTACAGCCTAGACTTTACATCAGACTAGAACTGTAACACCTACAGCCTAGATTTTACATCAGACTAGAATTATAACACCTACAGCCTAGACTTTACATCAGACTAGAACTGTAATACCTACAGCCTAGACTTTACATCAGACTAGAACTGTAATACCTACAGCCTAGACTTTACATCAGACTAGAATTGTAACACCTACAGCCTAGACTTTACATCTCACTACAACTGTAACACCTACAGCCTAGACTTTACATCAGACTAGAACTGTAATACCTACAGCCTAGACTTTACATCAGACTAGAATTATAACACCTACAGCCTAGACTTTACATCAGACTAGAATTATAACACCTACAGCCTAGTCTTCACATCAGAGTAGAATTGTAACATTTACAACCTAGACTTGACATTGAATCGGTGTTAAGGTTGCTCTTTTTTAGTCATCCCTATAGAACATTTAGTAATTCCTTGTGTAGTCAAAACAACTAATTATTTCATCAAACTCCATGTTACTTAATAATTTTCTGCTTTTGATTTCACATATTATGTTAAAGACAATTTTTTATTTACAGGATATGAAATACAAGTTTATTGTTGCTGTCCTGATAGAATATATCCGTTCACTGAACCAACACAGCATTCCAGTCCAGGTAAATATTGACTCACCAAAACAACACTGCATCCAAGTTCAGGTAAATATTGACTCACCAAGCCAACACAGTAACTCAGTCTAGGTAAATATTGACTCACCAAGCCAACACAGTAACTCAGTCTAGGTAAATATTGAATCACCAAGCCAACACAGTATCTCAGTCTAGGTAAATATTGACTCACCAAGCCAACTCAGTATCTCAGTCTAGGTAAATATTGACTCACCAAGCCAACACAGTATCTCAGTCTAGGGAAGTATTGAATCACCAAGCCAACACAGTATCTCAGTCTAGGGAAGTATTGAATCACCAAGCCAACACAGTATCTCACCTAGGTAAATATTGACTTACCAAGCCAACACAGTATCTCAGTCTAGGTAAATATTGACTCACCAAGCCAACACAGTATCTCAGTCTAGGTAAATATTGACTCACCAAGCCAACACAGTGTACCAGTCTAGGTAAATATTGACTCACCAAGGCAATACAGTGTACCAGTCATGGTAAATATTGACTCACCAAACCAAAACAATATCTCAGTCTAGGTAAATATTGACTCACCAAGCCAACACAGTGAACCAGTCTAGGTAAATATTGACTCACCAAGGCAATACAGTGTACCAGTCTAGGTAAATATTGACTCACCAAGCCAACACAGTATCTCAGTCTAGGTAAATATTGACTCACCAAGCCAACACAGTGTACCAGTCTAGGTAAATATTGACTCACCAAGACAATACAATGTACCAGTCTAGGTAAATATTGACTCACCAAGCCAACACAGTGTACCAGTCTAGGTAAATATTGACTCACCAAGGCAATACAGTGTACCAGTCATGGTAAATATTGACTCGCCAAGCCAACACAGTATCTCAGTCGAGGTAAATATTGACTCACCAAACAAACAATGTATGCTAGTTGGCTGTGATAATTTTCACAACATTACCTGTACAAATCATTGTCATATCTTTTATGTATTTTATAACTGATAATAAAACCTGCATGATTAGCAAATACAGTGTGCTTGCCATATCAGCTGATAATCATTTTTGACAGTTTTATTGATTTTTAATTCTTTAACATTATAACAGCATTACCTGTATGAGCTGATCATCAACACCTTGGTCCACAATAACTGCTGCTACCAACTTCATCAGTTTCTCCAGTACCATGTGCTGAGTGACTCAAAACCACTGGTCAGTATGGACTCCTTCACATACCTAATATATCCTAGTCTCTTTTGTGTGTGACCGTAATTGACATCAGCCTATGTTAGCCCTGAGTATTAATATCGAAAAATACAGATAACAACATATAATCATTTAAAGAATAAAAATGGATTTCAATGAAAGATCTTGTCATTACAAGTTGTCTTAAAATTGCGTATCTTAATTCAGCATGTTTCCAACTCTTACAGGCTTGTCTGATGCTGTCCTTAGAGAGTGTATACCCACCGGCTCACCAATTGGCTCTAGATATGCTCAAGGTAAGGGCAGACAACTCAAGTAGGTTTAGATTTGAAATAATTTTAAGTGATACATCACTAATTCAACCAAACAGAAAATTAGTAAGATATAGTAATATTTTAGTGGGTTTGGTTTGGATGCCATATTGTTTAAGGAAGAATGTATATATATATTGGCTTATACACATCTTTTAGATAGATGTTGATAGAACATTATACACAATATAAAACCTAATCCTTTCATGTGAGCATTAGAATCAAGATTATTGATCAGTTTATGGGCTATGTTGTTTTATAAACTGAAAACAGAATGACAGACAAGTCCAGAGGATGGAATTAAAATTAGTATAAAGTTTTTTTGTTGTTGCAGCGTTTATCTACAGCTAATGAAGAAATAATTGAAGTTCTACTGTCCAAACAGCAGCTACTTCCTGCCTTACGGTGAGTTTATAACACAGGCTTCCTATCCATATGTAATAAGTGACTTGCTGAATATTCTGTTTATCACTAATTCATCTGAAATAACTGCTATTACAGTCATTTCACTTTTATGTTACGGCTAAGGCAGCCATCTTGAAATGTTTTTTCACTGAAGAGTGCACAGATATTATTATCCTACTTCTCCTGAATCAAGAATTATTTAGAGACAGAACAACAACTGGTGAGAAGGGTCAAATTCCAAGTTGGTTCTAGATGAAATCCAAGTCTGTGTGACATTGAAGACGCTCTTTTGATAGACATGATCAGTTTTGCTTACCTGAGACAGAAAGATGTTGTGGAAGGACTGCTGCTATTAATGAATCATGTTTTGTATGGTGTTGAGGAAATTTTACTGTTTAATATATAGAGTTTGATCGGGTTTTGTTTACAGATTTATACGAAGTGTGGGAATCACGGACACTGTGTCAGCTCGGAAATTCTTGGAGGCAGCCAAGTCCACAGAAGATAACATGTTGTTCTATACTGTATTCAAATTCTTTGAGCAAAGAAACATACGTCTTAGAAATAACCCTAAATTCCCTCAAGGTAAGAAATGATGAACCAGAAATATAGAACATTACTTTTAAACTAATGACAAATATGTGAAAAGAAATCATTAATAAAAGGCTTATTTTAGCATAGTGAGAAATATTCAAAATATGTGGTAGAAGTAACTGATTTGAATATCTAAACCCATGAAAACACAGAAAATTAGTCACCTTTTCTTAGAATTGATATCTCGGGCTCATTAATATACCTTTCTATATATCATAGTAATATGTAATGTGATACATTTTGATTGTGACATGAAAATATTGTTTACCAAGATCTCAAAGTAATCTTTGAGGTTTCTTTTTAATGTCAAAAGAAGGTTGAATGTAATGCAATTAAGAATACTCTACATTATACTCAACAGAAACAGAAAGGCAGAAATTACTTAACTGAAGCAAAAAGATTCGTTGTACTTTCATTGCTACTTTTTATTGACATGTCTGAATTTAAACAACAAACACCAATGTGTTTATTCCATGACACTAGTGACATGTCTTACTGCAACATTTAAATACACTTTTAATTATAGCGAATATTCCTGATATGCTGTATGAAATTTGATTTAAGTGTTTGTTCCCACACACAGGCGAACACTGCGAGCAGTACACACGATATTTTGAAGGACTATTTGGGACAGATGCTCTTGCCCAAACATCTCCAACGTAGCCATGACAACAAATTGTGACAGATCAAGTGCTGTGATAATTGTACATAGAACATATACATTTTATCAAAATATATCTACTGAAACTTCCATTATAATTGAACACAAGAGTAGGTTTTTAACCTTTCTTGAGGAACAGAATTTGCATATTCGTCAAGGTAGTATGAAATCAATGTGAAATGTAACGACTTTCATTGGATATCCCACTCACATCAGAGTTATGGTCACCCAGACTCTTTCAGAATATTTTAGTTTTCTTTTCCTTTTAGCAGTTATACTTTGAGTTATCTCCCTTAGCTACCCTTTCAACATTTTGCAAATGGCAGCATGCTATACTTCAATGTCTGTGCTTGTTTGTCTAGTTTATGTTTAATTCAGTTTTAAATACTCAAATTTTGAACAAAAAAAAACATGAAATGCACAATTGAGATGATACTATTCTGAAATAAGGCCTATACAATGTGTAAACAAATATATCATCCAAAGTCATACCTTGCACCTGCCTGCAACACTACTGGGTGTATGTAATAGATTTGCAGAATAAAATCTTAGGAACAGCTGAAAAATTAATAACCAAAAGCTTATCACGCAGGATCATGAAAGTATGGTGTGTAGCATTGTTTGGATGGAACAATTCCAGAGGTGTTCTCTTGAATTTACCAATCGTACTGGCTATGTAACTGACAGGAGGCCAGCATGTGATTTTTGGAATATTTGTATCATTACCTAGATGTAGGTTCATGAAATTTGGATTAGTTCCATGAGGAATGAATAAGTCTACAACTCGATTATCTGTCTAGACTTTACACATTATACCTTCTATATGATATTTGGCCTGTAGCATACTGGGGTGAAAGGCTTGAAAATTGTTCAAATAAACGACCCTGACCCCATTGCAATTAAAATGGTACAGTAACAAATAACCTTAACCAAGGGCCCTTCCAAAGTTATGATGTAGGCTGCAGGGGCGAAGGTCTATCTAGTCAGTTTAAATTAACTACGTTGATTCCCTTTGAAGATTGTGCTTGAGTAATGGATTTTTACCCCAAGATAAATAAGGCAATGTTACATCAGGTCAGTATGGTGCTTGCTTGCCTGCCGATAGGTAGGTTCTAATCTGTTTAAATGTAACAGGTGTGAAACATCAGCAGCATACAACTGTATTTACAGTACTACTGAAGATCTTATCCCTGTCTCACTACTCTCTCTGGAAAACTGGGAGACTTTGTGGGCTGCTATTAATAGACATTGTTTTTGAGTAGGTGACATTATGAACACATTGTTAAGGATTGCCATTATTATGTTGAAACTGTAATCAAAAATGTATTTATCCATATAACCAGGATCAGCCTATAGTGACATGTGACCTTTACACATACTACTAGTATTTTACCATTTGGAAATTATTAGTCATCTATTTCCACTTAAAGTGTATTTTTCTATTCAATGCCACTTGAAAGAATCGTTTTTAGTTCAACTTTTCTGTTTTAAAAAAGACTTCATCTCAATAACAGAATGGCCCAGACTTCTGATATTTGGCATGTAGCATGCTGGGAGGAAATTATTAATTAATTAATGAACTTGGCCCTCTTGAAAGGTCACAGAAGTCAAATATATGTATGAAGTCTTTAGACAACTTCTCAATCACTGAAAGATTCTACGTACTGATATTGGTTTCATAGCATGTTGGGATGAAAGGCTTCCAACTGTTCAGGAGAATGACCTTGATCAATCTTCCAAGTTACAGAGGTCAAATAAATTGAAAGCTCCAAACATATTCTCAATAACCATATGATATGAGGGCTACCAATTCAGTTTGATGAATTCAATCCAGTTTCAAGGTAACAGGGTCAAATATTCTAAAATCTTCAAATAACTCCTTCTCAATGACCAAAAGGCACAGGGTAATGAAATTGGGCTTTTGGCATGCTGGAATGAAGGCATACCAAGTTTTGTTCAATTGAACGGCCTTGACCCACTTTCAGAGTCCGGGAATAAACTGTGTAAACATTTTCAAATGACTTCAGCTGAATAACCAAAAGGCCCAGGGCCATGATTGATCATGATCCAATTTCAAGATAACTTGGATCAAATTGGTTAAAATCTTCTAATTACTTCTTAATAACCGTAAGGACATTGATATTGATATTGGAGTTGCAGAACAGGAAAGCAATTCAGGCTCATTAGGCCTCTTGGTGTATGTAGAACTTTAGAAGAGAGAGACAAAGACAGTCACATATAATTATCTAGTGAATTAATTAAGAACTAAATTCTCAATATATAGTTGTTCCGGAGAAGTATGTACTAAATTCACTGTTGGCAGTACATCACACTATCCTGTGTATCTGTTTTGATTATGTTTCCTTTTCAAATTTTGCCCAGATCCTGTTTCTAGGTCACCTGAGATTAAAGTCTTATAGATTACCATAACCTTTTACTCCAGTGCTGTGTGTCCCCTCTTCTGAAAAACTGAATTAATTTCAATGAAATTTTGCATACACCTTCTATTGCCAAAGTTGAACTAAAATTGTGAATTATATGGTCAGATGACCTGGGATGTTTCTATACCATTAGAGGGGATGTTTCTATACCATTAGAGGGGATGTTCCTATACCATTAGAGGGGGTGTTTCTATACCATTAGAGGGGGTGTTTTTATACCATTTAAGGGGGTGTTTCTGTACCATTAGAGGGGGTGTTTCTATACCATTAGAGGGGGTGTTCCTAAACCATTAGATGGGATGTTTCTATACCATTAGAGGGGTGTTCCTATACCATTAGAGGGGATGTTTCTATACCATTAGAGGGGGTGTTTCTATACCATTAGAGGGGTGTTCCTATACCATTAGAAGGGGTGTTTCTATACCATTAGAGGGAGTGTTTCTGTGCCATTAGAGGGGTGTTCCTATACCATTAGAGGGGGTGTTTCTATACCATTAGAGGGGGTGTTTCTGTACCATTAGAGGGGTGTTCCTATACCATTAGAGAGGTTGTTTCTATACCATTAGAGGGGTGTTCCTATACCATTAGAGGGGATGTTTCTATACCATTAGAGGGGTGTTCCTAAACCATTAGTGGGGGTGTTTCTATACCATTAGATGGGTGTTCCTATACCATTAGAGGGGTGTTCCTATACCATTAGAGGGGTGTTCCTATACCATTAGAGGGGATGTTTCTATACCATTAGAGGGGTGTTCCTAAACCATTAGTGGGGGTGTTTCTGTACCATTAGATGGGTGTTCCTATACCATTAGAGAGGTTGTTTCTATACCATTGGAGGGGGTGTTTCTATACCATTAGAGGGGTGTTCCTATACCATTAGATGGGATGTTTCTATACCATTAGTGGGGGTGTTTCTGTACCATTAGAGGGGGTGTTTCTATACCATTAGACGAGGTGTTCCTATACCATTAGAGAGGTTGTTTCTGTACCATTAGAGGGGTGTTCCTATACCATTAGAGGGGGTGTTTCTATACCATTAGAGGGGGTGTTTCTGTACCATTAGAGGGGTGTTCCTATACCATTAGAGGGGGTGTTTCTATACCATTAGAGGGGGTGTTTCTGTACCATTAGAGGGGGTGTTTCTGTACCATTAGATGGGTGTTCCTATACCATTAGAGAGGTTGTTTCTATACCATTAGAGGGGGTGTTTCTATACCTAAAGCCGCTTTTCAATATTTAATGTTTCAGATTTCTGATATTGCTATAGATCATATTGCCACATTAAATATTACATTGGAACTGGTCACATGGGAGGTTAGCTCCTCGGCATTATAAGTGCAATATTTCATTTAAAGTTATCTGTCATCTTTTATTAAATCAATCTTTGATATCGTGTGTTTGTTATTTTATGAAAACCTTAGATCTCGCAGACAATATTTTACAAATACAGCAGTTGTTTGGTCTACAGAGACTGTTGTCTTGCTATAACGAAATACGGTTAATGACTTCTAACGAACGTTGGGATGTTTGTCTTTTCCCCTGTGTTAACCTAGAAAATTCAACAAGAATATTGCCAAACGGTATGGTGACTTTATGGTGGTATCTTCTAGATGACGTCAAGTTGGGGTGGTTTGATACAGATGTTTGTTACACGATTGCCTTGTATTGTGAATATACTAATGTAATATTTTTATGACATTGTTACATGACCATGACAGCACAGCCAAAGAGCCGAAATGACTGCAAGTTTTCTGATATATTATCCTGCGAAGTTTACCATGTGATAGAAATATCTTAGAATTCGTTGTCATTGGATACATGTATGGTTTATGAAACGAGTATGAGAATTTTCAATTAAGGCTCGCTCAACCCTCGAGTTTCATAAATCACATGAAAACTCATGTGAGATCCTAAATATTTTAGTAGACAGTCAGTAAAGACTGGAAATTCCTACCATATATAGACATTCACCAATTAATTGTCGTAAAGTAGGCATGCGTTGGATGTGAACTAGTGCTGAAGTAACTGTCTGATATTGACGGTTAATTGGTAATGTTTTACTACAAATGGTCACTTCTGTTTAATTACCCCCCTATAATACCAGACTTTCAGTCTAGTATTGACCCGTCTATATTTAGATGTAGACCATTCAATCATGTGATTTACCGAGATTGCATTTCAGTTCATTGATACGAATCATTGTTTATCATGGACGAGTGCCGAGCCCTGAACACCAGGTGGGAGATTTGGAACTCGGTATCAGTATTTAAAACTATATCGATTCCACCTCCAATGTACAAGAGTTACCGAGTCACGAACCCACTTTATTTCCATGGTTAATTGAGGAGAGAGCGAAACAGTAGCACAGAACAAATCTACTCTATATCGTGTCGCCAATTGGTATGCATGTCTGTTGTAATTAAGAAAGGTGACTTACACAGAGACAGTTGAAATATATCTCCGAGTAAAAAAGGAAGAAGGAAGTCAGGAGATGCGCTCGGTTTGATTTGATTTCGTTTAAAACAAAACAGAGAAAGTGGAGGCGATTTCATGCTGGTTAAATTACATTTATTGTTCCGGTTAAGATCGATCTCCCGGGTTGTATGTATATACGATTCCTAACCCCCTTGTCACGTTTTCCAGGAAGATCTGTTCTCATTGTTCATTATGTATCAGCGTTTTACCTTATAAGTCAAATGAAGCAAACATATTAGCGTTGTGTAATCAGATATTACGGTAATACACGTCCGTGAAGCAATTAGGCTAAAACACTTATGTTACAGGGTTGTCATTTCTCAACATTCTGAAGCTTGTTTAGGGACTCAGGGAAGGAAACTACGATGTCATCTCACCGGAAAAAATATATTTAAACATTTGCCAAGGATTTGTCATTAGTCTAAACCCTCCACAACCTTCTCTAAATGGTTCACAGAAATCACGGAAATGCGAAGTGAAATGTTTTACGGCAATATTAATTGCCCCCACCTCTGTACAGAGATTGAACACGAAGTAAAACACACACCCCATATAGAGATCGAACACGAGATAACCCCCCCCCCTATCCTCCGCTATACAGAGATCGATCACGAAGTAACCCCTCCCCTCACCCCACCTTCTCTATCCCACCTCTATACAGAAATCGAACACGAAGTAACCCCTCCCCCACCCCACCCTCTCTATCCCATCTCTATACAGAGATCGAACACGAAGTAACCCCTCCCCCACCCCACCCTCTCTATCCCATCTCTATACAGAGATCGAACACAAAATAACCCCTCCCCCACCCCAACCTTTCTATCCCATCTCTGTACAGAGATCGAACACGAAGTAACCCCTCCCCCCACCCCACCCTCTCTATCCCACCTCTAAACAGAGATCGAACAAGAGATAAACCACCCCCTCTATCCCCCCCTCTATACAGAGATCGAACACGAAGTAAAACACACACCGTCTATCCCCCCTCTATACAGTGATCGAACAGTAAGTAAAACACACACCCCATATAGAGATCGAACACGAAGTAAAACACACACCCTCTATCCTCCTCTATACAGAGATCGATCACGAAGTAACCCCTCCCCTCACCCCACCTTCTCTATCCCACCTCTATACAGAAATCGAACACGAGATAAACCACCCCTCTATCCCCCCTCTATACAGAGATCGAACACGAAGTAAAACACACACCCTCTATCCCCCCTCTATACAGTAATCGAACAGGAAGTAAAACACACACCCCATACAGAGATCAAACACGAAGTAACCCCTCCCCCACCCCACCCTCTCTATCCCATCTCTATACAGAGATCGAACACGAAGTAACCCCTCCCGCACCCCACCCTCTCCATCCCATCTCTATACAGAGATCGAACACGAAGTAACCCCTCCCCCACCCCACTCTCTCTATCCCATCTCTATACAGAGATCGAACACGACGTAACCCCTCCCCCACCCCACCCTCTCTATCCCACCTCTATACAGAGATCGAACAAGAGATAAACCACCCCCTCTATCCCCCCTCTATAAAGAGATCGAACAGTAAGTAAAACACACACCCCATATAGAGATCGAACACGAAGTAAAACACACACCCTCTATCCCCCCTCTATACAGTAATCGAACAGGAAGTAAAACACACACCCCATACAGAGATCGAACACGAAGTAACCCCTCCCCCACCCCACCCTCTCTATCCCATCTCTATACAGAGATCGAACACGAAGTAACCCCTCCCCCACCCCACCCTCTCTATCCCATCTCTATACAGAGATCGAACACAAAATAACCCCTCCCCCACCCCACCCTTTCTATCCCATCTCTTTACAGAGATCGAACACGAAGTAACCCCTCCCCCCACCCCACCCTCTCTATCCCACCTCTAAACAGAGATCGAACAAGAGATAAACCACCCCCTCTATCCCCCCCTCTATACAGAGATCGAACACGAAGTAAAACACACACCGTCTATCCCCCCTCTATACAGTGATCGAACAGTAAGTAAAACACACACCCCATATAGAGATCGAACACGAAGTAAAACACACACCCTCTATCCTCCTCTATACAGAGATCGATCACGAAGTAACCCCTCCCCTCACCCCACCTTCTCTATCCCACCTCTATACAGAAATCGAACACGAGATAAACCACCCCTCTATCCCCCCTCTATACAGAGATCGAACACGAAGTAAAACACACACCCTCTATCCCCCCTCTATACAGTAATCGAACAGGAAGTAAAACACACACCCCATACAGAGATCAAACACGAAGTAACCCCTCCCCCACCCCACCCTCTCTATCCCATCTCTATACAGAGATCGAACACGAAGTAACCCCTCCCGCACCCCACCCTCTCCATCCCATCTCTATACAGAGATCGAACACGAAGTAACCCCTCCCCCACCCCACTCTCTCTATCCCATCTCTATACAGAGATCGAACACGACGTAACCCCTCCCCCACCCCACCCTCTCTATCCCACCTCTATACAGAGATCGAACAAGAGATAAACCACCCCCTCTATCCCCCCTCTATAAAGAGATCGAACAGTAAGTAAAACACACACCCCATATAGAGATCGAACACGAAGTAAAACACACACCCTCTATCCTCCTCTATACAGAGATCGATCACGAAGTAACCCCTCCCCTCACCCCACCTTCTCTATCCCACCTCTATACAGAAATCGAACACGAGATAAACCACCCCTCTATCCCCCCTCTGTACAGAGATCGAACACGAAGTAACCCCTCCCCCACCCCACCCTCTCTATCCCACCTCTATATAGAGATCGAACACGAAGTAATCCCTCCCCCACCCCGCCCTCTCTGTTCCACCTCTATACAGAGATCGAACACGAGATAAACCACCCCCTCTATCCCCCTCTATACAGAGATCGAACACGAAGTAACCCCTCATCCCACCCCACCTTCTCTCTACCCACCTCTAAAAAGAACACGAAGTAAACCCCCTCTATACCACAACCACAACCCCTCCCCTCTGTACAGAGATCGAACACGAAGTAAAACAAAAACAACATTTAAACCAATTTCATATTGCAAATGGCCCAACTGTGTGCTGGAAAGTTACCTAAGCACTCAGTAACCCTGACCCATGAGTCATGTTGACTGTCACTAGGCGTGGTTTGGATTTAATTTTACAGACATGCCTTCATAGGGAAGTGTATTGCGTATATACATCGTGTGTAAGTCTTGAAATTCTGACACATGTATACCAAGCTTTCCTTATACCGTATTTTAGGAAAATATGTTCTTGCAGTATGATGTGCTAGTTCAAACGTCATCCCTAATTAAACACATCGATTGGTGTACGGATGTAGCTTATTTGGGGATATGTGGCAAAGGTGTGGGACACGACTGCCTTTTACGAGAAATATGATACATGAAACAGTATGAGAGAACGGCCTATTTGGGGAAATGATATTAGAGTATGGTAAGAGGACAGAAATGTCTCAAGAATATGTGTGGAAACAGTTCGAGAAGAGAACGGCTCATTTGAGGAAATATGGTAATGGCTGTAGGGGCGTGTGGATACCTTCTGATTGACGATAATGTTAGGCCGTGACTCTTACGCCTCAAGGTAGACGTCTCTAGTTGACCAACATACACATGAAATATGCATATAAAAGAGACCACGAAATGCTAAAGACGAATAAAAGAATATGTTATTACCGCCTAAGCTATTTTGTCTATTAGAGTACTCTCTTGATGCCACTTAGTACCAGAGCACTAAATCTTGGGAAGTGTAGACAGAGGCTGACGGGTCGATGAAAGGAGCATGGGAAGATGAACTGAACGTCAAATAACTACGGCGTCGAGAACTGTACATCAGAAAGT